AGGAAGATGCTCAGACATATTCCCTGGCAAACACTCATCCAAAAAAGAAGCCATGTTTAGATTCCAGAAAAACGCCTACACTGTCTTTAATTGCAATCACTTTTCAGCATAACTAAAAGGGCTTTTGAAGGATTCAAACACTCCAAGAAGTAACAGGACAGCATTTTCTCCCCTCAGCATTTTACTTTTCTAGAATTAAAGACAAGGAACTGGGCAGTCCTTATGCACAACAAGCCAATTTATTTTTAAAATGCCGGTGCAAAATTAGTTTTGAGTAAAGTGCCTTCATCCAAAGACAAACTTCACTAACTGAAAAAAAAGACATTTGAGTAGTTTTATTCCACTGCTTATACAGGTTACAGTTTATACAGCCATTTTTAAAACTTCTAAGATAGTAACTTTGGACCTGACACTGAAATGAGCTCACATAAAGTAAGAGTTTTACTCTGCAAACAAGCAGGGCTCAAACTGTTCAGTACAAACAGCTGAATAAAACATTCTGTATATAAAACAATCTGTATATAAATCAGCTGAATAACATTGAGTAAAGCAATCTGACTACATCTCAATAACACAGATCAATTTTAACCTTTCTGTACCTATGCACATACACTATCAGATCTATCTTACCCTTTCTATACCTATGCAGGCATAATATCAGCCAAGATTTTGTGTTGAATTGCAAGTATAAGACTTTAATTTAGGAAAATACCTTTATCCAAAATATCTCCCCAAAGTGAGCACCATGTCAGTAAAACCCATCTACATCCCTTGGTTAATTAAATGCCAGCTTCTGAGTCTTTGATACGACAGTCCATCAGCTGTCACCTCCAAGAGTCATGAGCCAACGGTATTGATTAGCAAAAAATGACAACTCTTGTCCATTGATATAAGTAACAGCAGTTGAAATTGGAAGACCATTCTGTTTCTAGAATAAAAGCTGGTTTAATCTACACTCTTTAAAGAGAGTCAATAATGTAGATCACAATTAAAATGTATAGCATGTAATGAGAATGTTTATTTAAATATCCTCTGGACACTGAAGTCTTTTTTATATTTTTTCTCCTCTCTGTTCAACAGTCACATATTAAGCACATGATATGCATCCTCACACTAACACTGCATAAAAACAAAAGCATTTGAACAACTAGACTTAAAAATAAACATGCATAAAGCATTTCAAGAACCCTGAAAATTGATAAAATAAAAAGTCACAATAGGTTAACAGATAATAAAAAGGTGCAATGGGCAGGTCAACCTTGAAAAAGCCCTTTTAAACTACAATAGGATTGTCAGGTGCCATTACCCTTTGTCAGCCAACTACCTGACCTCATAAATCAGGTATTACAACCAAATGACAGCACACTGTAAAATCAGCACTAGACAGACTCATCTACTGACTAATGAGTGGCCTGCCAAGGTTTTGAGGTCACATTCAAAACTAAAAATTAATTATAATCAATCATATTATTAAAAAAAGAAAGAAAAGTCGTTTCAACAAGACTAAAGCTTGCAAGTACCATTCTGTAGAGTTTGTGCTCGTGACTCCTTTCCCAGATTGGCATGGAATCCTCCACCTAAAGTTGGTGTTTTGCCTGCACCTATTAGGGAATAAAAAAAAAAAAAGATATGTCAAATGCAATAACTGAATTAAAATATTGAAAGAAAACTTACTGTGCTACTGTATTCAATATCTGTATAATTTACTACATACCAAGTTACATTAAGAAGGGAAACAGAAGTGCTTAAAGGGCTTAAGATATTCAGTACAAATCCTGTGCAGTTTATTTCTTCCATGGGATACCATAAGATTTACGTTGACTCCACAAGCCCTCCCAATCTCAGCTCCCAAGTACAAAAATGTCACAACCCCTATTTTAGGCAGAACATGAAAATCAATATTGTAAAATATTTCTCAAAGTAAATGATGAAACAATTGCTCAGTTAATATTTTTTGTCTGAAGAATATTCAATACAGAATTTTAATAGCTAATTACTGGCACTACAGAACATAAAACATGTTTAGCAGTCAATAATGACTGTGTTGGCTACTACAGACATAATACTTACTCTAAAATAACTTCAGTTTAACATTAGGCACACATGGTGATGCTTAGGCTACAAAAACTGCAAGTCTGGAACTGCAACATTTACACCCCTGAAAGGCTGGAGAGTAAAGTAAGTCTGAGTTGTAAATTAGCATAAACTAGAGGCTGGTATATGCATCTGTGCCAATGCAGAGTCCTCTGGGAGTCAGTGGAACTACTCATACAAACCAATCTTGCAGAACAGGGAATTAAACTACCAAGGACAGAAATAGTCTCCCACTAAAGCAGGAATTTTTTTAAAAACCAATCAGGCTCCCTCAAGCAGGATATTCGAATCTATCAGCTTAACAGCAAGTGAGACCAAAAAGCTAAACTGCACAGGACTGAAAATAAGTAATTTGTTAGTAATTGGACTTCTACTTAATTCCAGTAGTCTGCTTCTCAGAATAGGGGAAGAAAGTCATCCTCTTCCGTATGATGCCTACAGTATTTTTCCTCAAGTTCTTGTAGCTATGTTTTCTCATCTTACACCAGCTCCCTAGGACAAACTGTAATGGCTTTGGGATACAAGCAGACAGAGGAGTGAAGTGTCACTTGAAAGCCATTCAGGACATTTCTCCTGCACGCCTGAATAAGAGACTTCCATAGCAGGTACAAGTGATGAGAAACTCTGCCCTAATTCGTTCACTCTTACTAGACTTTCTTAGCTAGTCTCCTCTCGGCTGCAATTAATACACAACTATGTCGAGGGAAATAAAAAAACCTAAAAGCTAACATCCCCGCAGAATTATTGTCTATCAGCCTTCAAAGCTTAATTTTCCATACAACCATTAAATTAGGTTTCCAATGCCATCCACAACAGAAACCGACTTCACTTTCACTTCATTAACAGAGCCTTTCAACAAACGGTAATCAGAAGCGCTCACGTAAATGGCCCACAGCTTAAGTACTTCAGTTCAACATCCTAATTAGAAATGAAAAATATTCAACAGTGACCTCCTCACTGGATATAGAGGTACCCCCTCCCAACTCTGCATTTGCTCCAGGCTATTACAGACAGCAGTGTCTCCTTACCACTCTTACAGGCACAGCCTCGTATTTCCACAAATGCTCCAAAATAAACCGATGAGGCAGAACAGAGAGATGTTACCAAACTACCCTAGCACACATAACATTTTGGGTGTACATTAATAAGAATGGTTTGCCTGGCAAAAAAAAAATACATCAGCAGTGGCAATAGTTTTATGTTCCTTTTCTTCAGTAGCAAATCTAACTTCAGAAATCCTGCCTCCCACCCTCCTTTTTTTTGTTGTTTTAAGGTTTGCTTTACAACAGGCTACCTCACTTGTCCAAGTTACAGCTGGAGAGCACGACTCAAGCGTCCGCACAGCGGAGGCGGCCGTCAGCTGCAGGGCAAGAGCGGGAGCCAACAGGCTGGAGGTAGCGGGCTCATCCAGCGCTTGCGTTGAATGCTCCATTGCCCCCTCCCGTGAACAAAGGCCCCACTTTTCAGTCCCCTCTAGCCTTGAAGACACGAAAATACTGAACTCTATTGGACTGGCATTGTCAAAACAGCTGCATTACTCTTTCACAGGTTTCCCTGTTGCTACTAAACAAGCTTACACAAAACCAATCTTAGAGTGGTGATAAACAATACAATTAACAAAATAATGTAACGTATTCAGAAGCTAAAATCCAGAAAGAATACAAACAAAATAAAATTAAGCTGAGCTTTCAGCGTTTTTTTTCTTTGAGATTCTTTTTCATTAGACATCAAGATACAACACTGTACATAAAAGTCCCTTCTTTCCAAGCTGTAGAGTCTGCGGCAGATACTAGCAGACCTATCTGAAAGACAAATTCTGCTATCAGAATTCATGGGCCCATTTCTCAGCGAGTTAACTGGAAAGACTGCACATCTCTAATAAGCATTTGGCTTTGAAAACTGACAGAAAACTAGTCTGCTGAGCACTTACGCTCTCAGAACTGCAAACTAATGTTGCCATTGACTATGAAGTCTCACCATCAGCTTTCATCTGTACAAGCGGAATGCAAACCAAACTCATTAACGCAACTGTTCAGCTGGATAATAAAGAGATAAACTCTTAAAAAAGGAAACTGTGAAATCATCAAATTCATTTAAAGACAAAAATCCCTACAAAGCTAGTAATTTTAAAAGTACAAAGGAAAGGAACAGCAATCGCTAGGCACAACCAAATTAACATCCCAGCTTAACTGAAATTTTTACATTTCTTGACCTTTTCCATTTTTCCCTCTACAACTTCAAAAGTGAATTTAACAGGCTTTTTGCATTTTCACATTCAGCTTTCAAGATACACAAAAATGTATCCCATCCCAGAAGTATTTGGTGTCTGCAAGTACTGCCTGCCAACTCTTCAACATTAACACTAACATTTCCCTAAGCCAACTCAAATACCCTCCTTTGTGAGGTGGTGCCTCCCAAGGTACGTTCTTACCTACTGATCATCTTTAGAAAACAACTCAGATTCTCAGCTTTGCATAACTGAAGCCTCCTCTCCTCTTCAAGTTGGCTTCGGACACTTACATGAAATTTTGGACAACAGAATCATAGAATTGTTTAGGTTGGAAAAGACCTTTAAGATCATCAAGTCCAACCATTAACCTAACACTGCCATCCCACCACTAAACCATGTCCCTAAGCACCTCATCTACCCATCTGTGAAATACCTTCAGGGATGGGGACTCAACCACGTCCCTGGGCAGCCTGTTCTGATGCTTGACAACCCTTCCCATGAAGAAATCTTTCCTAAGGTGCAGAGAGATTTGTTTGACAGCTCAAACATACAGCTACTCAATTTTTTGTGGTCCTCTCAGAGGACTACAGTGCCCCAAGACATCCAAAGAAGAGAACTGAAGATGCAAGAGAACATATACCTGGGAACTTGATCAGTCAGAGCTTATGCAGGTCCAGACCCAGCCCATAACCCTGCATTACTCAAGTGCTGAACCACAGTGACCGTCCCTCAAGCAGTCAAGAGCAGCTGTCCCCAGGTCTGCTCCTTGCAGCAGTCTCGGTCAGACCCAGGGACCTTGGCCATTTCTCTTTTGCTCCACCGACTCAGTAACGAAGGAAGTCACATCACTCGGCTTCTCTATAAAAACATTCCTCAAGCAGTAAAAGGAGCAAGCAAAGCTTGAAGCCTGTGGTAACCTTGAACAGCAACAAAAAGATGACAGATCACAGGAAGAGCACTTATCACATCCCTCCGTACAGAGGAGGCAAAGAGCAGCCTCTCGGGCATCTGCAGCTTAAAGGGCACTTTTCCGAGAGCTAGCAACATGCTGAGTTTCAGATTCAACACCCAGAGAAGAAACAGCTTCAGTCCCAGTGGTACAGATTGCGTTTCCTCTACATAAATGAGCAAGTGAAGACAGGGAATGAAGCGGCTTGCAACTTGAACTGAAGTCTATCTGCTATTTGATAGGACCAGTCCTACCAAAATCCTTCCCTGTGAAATTATAGCAGAAAAAACACCAGCCCTTTCTCCAGCACAAGGTAAAAGAAAAACCTTCAGTTTAAAACCCACGTATTTACCAGACCCAGATTTTATGCTGGGTCTGTAAAGAGTGCAGACAGTATCACACCAACAGTTTCATACCTAGAAACAGACCAGATAGAGGCAGACTAGATAATAAAAACTAATGAGCTTCCTACTTAAGTTAAACCATAAAAGTCAAAAGGAGAGTAAGTCAGCGTCCCATAACAATTCAGGCCTACAAAGGCAAAATGATGTGAATGAAGTTTTCTGAACACACAAAACTACTGAAGTCTGTAGCCAAAATAATTCTTTTCTCAGCCATTTTTACAGACAAGTTAACAGATCTGCATGCACCACAGCCTGCCAAAATGCTACTCCATCATAACTGGCTATCTATGGACTTATTTTCGTAACTACCAACCAGAGATAAATATACTGTTGCATCCACCATGCCCGACTTTAGGGCTGCACAAGCCTATGAAACCAGTCTGTGCCCAAGTTACATGCGAGATTCAGCATTTTCACAAGTGACAGCAGTGTACTCTGCAGCACTTCAAGCAAGTGTTCCTTGCCATCACAAGACAGCATATAAAAGGCTCAATGCCAGAAACCACCACTATACACTTAACTGATGCAAGATTGCCACCTGGAGGATTTCAGAAGAGAAGCAAAAATTGATTCTGTTCCTCTCACTAAAACATATAACAGATGATTATTTTTTGCATGAAGTAGATATAAGTTTCCCCTCTTCCTTCCCAACACAACACAGTTATGAATAAGTTTTGTAATGAGAAAGCCTAGCATAAAGTAAAACAGCTAAACAGGATTTCCCAAAAGGTCTGCAAATCCAGCATATCCAGACTTTCTTCTGTGTTGCAAATTACACCATGACCACTCTACATAATTTAAAATTAACTGTGAATTAGTGTCATCTCTAGAAACCTGGACCTCAAGTAAGAGGAATTTTTCTGATCTTAACATTGTTTTCACTTTTCAGTATCTACTGTTTCCATTTCAAGTTTAGCGCATATA